CTGCCTGCCTGCTTTTTTATAAAAAAAGGGAGCCCCAGCCCAACCCTGGCCCCAACCCCCATGGGGTGGGGCCCCCCCCCCCCCGCAATCAATCACTAATTAAGAAAATGTCCTACAACTGGATGGATATTATGGAGGTATTTGCTAAATTGAGGTTCTCTCCTTTCAGATAACGCTAATAGTGTCAAGTTGATGTAAGACTAGCCAGCACATTATCTTTTTCATATTTTTTTAATTTCATGTCTATGTGTATGAGTCTGGGGGTTTGTGTGTGTACCACACACATGTGGGTGGCTGCAGAGGCTGGAGGACAACGGTGTCAGATCCTGGAATGAAATTACACGTGGATATGAGAGACCCAATATGAGTGCTGGGAACCACACCTGGGTTTTCTGAGAGAGCAGCAAAAGATCTGAACCACCGAGCCATCTCTCCAGGCTCCCACCCCATGCCCTGTTCATCTTTAGAAAAGGTGCGTTCGTATGCCTGAATGCACTGGTGAGGGTTAAATGAGATATGTAATGCACTGTAATGTCAAATGAGTGGTGGACACCATCCTGTTTCAGTACCTTCGAACTTCCCTTTCTAATTATTTAACACATGACTATGTATATAGCTCTTCTTAACTATTTAGCACATAAATATGTACACAGCTCAGCATCTTGGTGGAAGAAGCTATAAACTGCACTAAGAATGTATGGTTAAAGCGGCCCTCAGTAGGTTCAGAGCATAGCAGCAATCACGTAAAGCCAATAAACGGGAGATGTTGAGCACTTCTTAATAAGTAATGTCCAGGGAGACAGAGAGGTAGCATGGGTGTTCCTCTAAAGCCCGAGACCTGTGGTTTACAGACAGCAGAGGTGGAGGAAGCATGCCCCCCCCTAGACCATCAAGAGCTTGACCAATGCTTAGGTGGAAAGCAGCTCAGGAGCTCTAGAGACTGGGAGCTTCCTATGCCTGGAACTCACTGTAGACCCCGAGAAGGAAGAGGGGTACCAAGTCAGAGGGGGAGCAGTAGGGATAGATGATGAGAATGTTGAACCAAGAGCGAAGGCCACTGTTCTCAGGTTATCCTATCAAGTCTTTATCGGGCAGCCCCCTCCCCTGGAATGCCCCACCCAGGCAGTCACTGTGTTATTCCTCTTCCCCTCTGGGTGCCAGGCCAGCAGCAATCAAGGTACTACTGCAAGTCCCCAGAGACACCAGGACTACTTCTCAAGGAGTTCTCCGCACAGAGGCAATCTTACAAGAATCCATTTCTAGATGCCCAGACTTCATTTATATTCATTCCCAAATCTCAATAGCCCTAGAGACTCTGGAAGCTACAAATTCTCCTTCCTTCCCCAGTGTTCAGGTTTCTGTTTACCAGAGAGCCTATCTCATGAGGGTAGGGGGGATGACAGAGGCTCACATAAAGGGGTGACTCCAAACACTGGTGCTGCTACTGAAAATCATAAATGCCTCTAATCACTAGGAAACACCTTCCTTTACGCCTCCCTTAAGTTTTAAGCTTTATTTTTAAGGCAAGTGAAGGCGGCACTCTGTGACTCTCCATTTAAGATAACTTGCAGTGTTTGGGTGTTAACACACTGAGTAACATTCAAATAACACTTGTCCTTTAGGGGAGTTAGAGATGTTTGGGATATAGTCACAGGATAAATTCTTTGTTATCTGAAAATCAGATTTAACTTGTATCTTCTACTTTTATTAACTCTGGCAACCCTATCTCTATTTTCAAGCTCCCCAAATCAGGAAGCCAATGCTGACCAAGACAAGTTATATAGAAGACACTGCCTGAGTTCACACTGAATGAAAAAGCTTTCTTTTTATTGGAGCCCCGCCCCCATTTAACACCCTCCTGCTTAGAGACATGGCCTGGAGCAGACCCCCCCTCACCCCATTTCCACATTTGCACCCTCTGGCACAGAGACTAGGCTTGGCATATGACTTTCCAGACAGGTTTCCAACTTGGAGAAGGTAAAAGTTGTATTGCCAACTAAAAAAACAAATAGCAGAAACAAAGGGTTCATTGGTGTCTCCAATGCCATCAATAACACATAGTAGAAGAGAACCTTAGAAAAAAACCCTAAAAAGAAGAAAAATAAGCCATTGTGATTCCCATACTAATTTCACCAGCAATGAAAGTGATGAGGCTGGCAGGGCAGAAAGTCTTAGAAGATACGCCTTTAGTCTGGCTCTCCATTCCTGCAACTCAAGAACCTGATGTTGACTTTAGAAATACACCTGCCCGGGACGCTATTTTCTGCTTAACGTCATATCCAGGAAGCTGTGTTAGGGGTGCACCATCTCACCTCTCAACAACCACAGGGCGCCTTCATTCCCCTTCAAGTGTCTTTCGTAAGAGTTGGATTACTTTTCTTTTGTCAATCGTATGCATTATTTGTATCTACTTCAAACTCATTTTGCAGGATTTTAAAACTCTTTCCTCCTGGGAATAAACACAGAGTAAAACAAATAAGGAAAGGGATTTCACATAAGCCTTTTATTTCTGATTCTGGTTCCTGCCTGCTGCGAACTTCACCCCAAAGGCGGGCTTCACTGTGCAGCAGAGAGAAGCTCTTGCAGCCTAGAAGAACAGAGTTGTCTTTGGTATGAATGTTATGGAGACCTGAGGAACGGTTTAATATTTCAAGTAGGAGCTCAGGTTTGAACTTTCCCAATGCTGACCTCGTAGAGAATCCCACTTCAAAAAAGCATGCAATGCCAACCTGCCTCGCCTCAGTTCAACACTTCAGGCTTGGAACAGGCAGACGGTGGACGAAGCCAGCAAAAGCAGACTACCCGCTGCAGAGCCAAGCTCAACCACTTACCCTCATGCCCTTGCCCAAGCAAGTTTCTTTAGTATTCGTTGTCTCCACTAACAAGGAGCATGATAATAAAAGAATTGTAAGGCGACTTCATAAGCACTGAAACGGTTCAGTCCTCAGAACAACACCAGCCCACAAGAAGCATCATAGAAATGTCATTACATTGGGATTTTAAAATGTCTCCTGACTTAGTCCATGAACACAAGGCCCTGTAGCTAGTAGCTAACTTCACTTATTTTTCTTGGCGTAAGTAACAAAGGTCAAGCTTTCACAGAGAAATATTATTTTGTCTGTTATTTTATATCAAATCTCAGAGCCTGAAGACAGTTAAAAACAGGGTTGCCAGAGCAGCACGGAATAGCTCAAACCCCACGCACACTGGGATCAAGGTTCCAGTCCGGTTAAACCAAATGCACTTTGGCATTAAGTCTGCTTTCCCACTGCCTATAGAATGAGAAGGGGCCACTGAATAACTAATGTTTCTCAAGAAACTAAGACTCTGTTTTATAACCCATAACAGTGCCAGCAGGCACTTCAGTCAGTCTTAGCAAAGGGCTTTCCTGTGGCAATCTTCCTTGACATCCTTGTTCCCTATGAGCTTATGTTATCATCCCAGACTTGCATACTTCCTACCTGCTAGGTCGTAAAACAAGGCAGTCTCTGTTCACCCAATGAGAAATTAGCAAAGGCTACTTTACTAGGTGAACTGGCAGGAAATTAGCAATGTCTATTTGCATGGTATGCAGAGTTTTAATCCATATGAACAAATGCTATATCCTTTTAATGGCAGCTCCCGTGTGGATTAGTAGAGACCTCAGAGCAGCGCTTCTAAATGTCTGCTCCCCTGCTCATCAGAGACAGCTGCGAGTGTCCCAGGCATTTGTTCTCTCAGTGGAGGAAGCTTGCTAGCATCAGCTGGGAATGGTCCAGGTGTCTGACAAACACTGTGGACACACGACACCTTAGTTGCTGGCACTGTGCCTCAGGGAGGTGTGTTCATGAGGAGCAGCATCACCTCCTAGGGGGCGGTTCAGAAATCTAGATGCTGGAGCTGTATGGGAGGAGGGCTGCTGTCCTGAGGCTCTGTCCAAAGACTGCCTGGACTAAAGCCTTGGACTGTACCCTACTCGCCTTGGACATGGCCCACTCACCATATTTGTGATATCCCTCTTTCATCACCAATCTCTGAACCTCAAACCCAACTCTACGTACAAAAATCCCACATTTGAAAATGAAAACTTTGCTTGATTGGGAATTTTGCCAAGAGTTGTTCATTTTGAAAATGTCCTGTGACCAACGATAATAGTTTGGGGTATTTCCATGGCCACTCAAACAAAGGCCATCAATCTCCATGTGTAGCCGTCACATCCACGGTTGCCCAGTCTGTAAGTATATGCTTGGAGTATGCTACTAGGTCTTCCTCCAGTGTACGCTCAACCAAATGTTTACATACTGAAGTTTTTATTGCTTCATTGTAAGCTGTCTGTATTACTCTTTTGTGTTAAAATTTGGCATTATACATTTTGAAATTATATACTGATTGCATTTCTTGGTGGCCAAAAAGTCACTCTAAAGCACATGCTACGTTTAAAATGAGGAACAAGGGCTGGGGAGATAGCTCAGTAGAGGTAAAGAGCACCGCTGCTCTTACAGAAGACCCAGGTTCAGTTCCCAGCACCCACAGGGCAGCTGGTAACTCTCCAACCTCCCAAATCCCCAGGCATGCACTCAATGCACTCACATAATGCAGGCACAACACTCCTACATGTAAAAACAAAAACAAAACAAAAACAAAAACAAACAAACAAACAAACAAAAAACCATGGATTTTAGATGAGGAACTCATTTGTGCCACCGGAACTGACAATCTTTGCTAAACAGGGTACCACCATAAGTCCCTTCACTTTGTGGAAATCAGTTGCAAACCCAGAGAAGAGCCAGCCCATCAGGAAACCAAGCTTTGAATTGTGCTTGTTTGTCTCTGCAATCCTCTTCCAGGCAAAAACAAACTAACTGGAAATGGGAATGAGTCACTGCAGAGGTCTAACTTGGCAAGATTAAATCACACCGTAGGTCTAGAGTTTCCTTTGGAACAAAATGCCAGGCCAGACTTCAGAAGGAAAACAATAAAACCATCCAGACAAGCAGTCCCATGCCTCATTTTATCCATCCATATGGGGTCCAGTTTTCATTCCATTCTAAGTGCCAGGGAGACCAAATGTCAGTTCTGATTACTCGGACTCCTTAATGTGATTTTTGGTAATATTACAATCTCCTTCCTGAAACCTTCATTTTCCCTCCTGTTTACTTGTTAGGCAAACATTAATTGAGTGTTTCTCTTTTAAAATACTGTACAGAACACTCTAGGGAATTATAAAGTAGAAGACAATCTGTCTGCCTTTGACAATGCTACTACCTAGGAAGGATACAAAACAAATATAAACACAAGTACAGGGCAAAATCAAGGAGACTGCCAAAGAGAAATGTGTAGTAGTAAAGGTCACAAACCAAGGCTTAGAAAAAAGGCTCGGGGGGAGGTGGAAGCCAAAAGGCAATTCTCCTAGGTTTCATTTTGAATTCTCTGTGATGCTGGGTTTCCTTCACTGAACTTTTTCTATCTGCCATGGGGGAGGAGGCACCCAGAAGTGCTCTCTGGAAATCCAGCCTACTTACCCCCAAGATGACAAAATGCCATTTCAGTGTGAAGTCACAGGGACATAGTGACCTGTGTCCCTGAAGGAGTAGTGACAATTGCTGTCAAGGGAGACAGAAATTTGGCAAGCAGCCTTTCGTTCACGACATCACAGAAGAAACATAAAGAGAACCACCCCATGCTAATCTCTAGGAGAACAACATTTCTCCCTATCTTTTCCACCTCTAATAATGAAGAACAGTACTTTGATGGCCTCTGTCTTTCAGGGAAATGGAAAAGGGGCTTAAGCCAATAGGCTGTCTATTACAGTAGAGAAGGAGAGGACACACACACACACACACACACACACACACACACACACACACACACACACACATACACACACATAATAAAGCAGGCCCTGGAAGGAAGGATGACATTTTGGTTCCTCGTGTACTCAAACATCAATCAGTGTCTTCCCAGTCAAAGGGCTGTTGTATTAAAGTGCATTTTACCCACAGACTCCTTTTGGGACATAAGGCATGATTTAGGTTAATTTTTAAATTTGATAGTAGAGTCGATCTCTAAGTAACCAAACTGCCCCCCATCTACTTTCAAAATGATTTTTCATTGTCTTGAGTTTTATTAATTCATTTGACATTTACCCAGCACCTGCTTAAACTTGTACAATTCCCAGCCCCCAAGGAAGCTCCCATTCAGGGGACACACATCAAGCAGGAAGGGAGTGAGTTAGATGACTAAGAATAACAAGTTAAAGAAATCAAGAATTAGAAGGTGACTGTTGGTGATTTTCTATAAGATATTTCTGTAGATCTCAATGAGACCGTGACGGGGCAATTTTCAGTCAATAAGAAACTCACCTTTTGCTCTAGATTAGAGGTCACCATTTCCACACCCTATGTGACTAGTTTTTATTGATGCAAGGCAATTTTGTAAAATGTCCATTTCAAGGAGATTGGACATACAGAAAGACTACCCACGGTCAAAATACCCTCTTCCCCAAATAAGCTTATTCAAAATTCCTAAAAGAGCAGACTTGAAAACACAGAAGTGGTCCTTCCCAGAATTTAAGAAGAAACCAAAGCATTCTCCAACACGTGTAAAATTCCTTATTAGCCTTACTAAGAAAGTGTGGGATACACAAACATAATTGGATGGTAGTGTGGTCGATGGATGTGCAAACACATGAGTGTGAAAGACATGCTATCTTGTTACGATAAATCCTTCCGCCAAAAGCCACCCCAGTTCTGCCCGCCGCGTGGATGGCCAAATAATTCACAGACTTCTATTAGGTACAAACGCTGCTTGGCCAATGACTAGGATTCTCATCTGTTAGCTCAGTCTTAATTATCATAAATCTATATATTTTATAAGACTTATCTTATCGGACACCTTCCATTGGCGTCCCTCCTTGCCGGTGGATCACATTGTGGCGCTGGAGGAAGAGCGGAGGGGAAAGAGGGGCCCTTCCTGTTTCTCCTTGCTTAAATATTAGTCTCCTTGCTATGATACTTCCTGCCTGGATCACCACTTCTCTACTACATTTCCCAGAATCCTCTTTGACTCCTAGTCCCATCTAACTTGCTGCCTCATTGGCCAAACAGTACTTTATTCAACAATCAATAAGATAAATACACAGAAGTACATTCTCCATCACTATCTAGTAGGATGGTCGCTCTCAAGAAGTCCCTGGGATGCTGTATGGCTATGTGGATAATAGGTAATGTGACATGAAATGGTTAGGAGCAGTAATCAGCTTTTGTCACCAGAATGTTTAGCTCTGAAGACAGACAGAAATCCATAACGCAACACACGTTCCTCAACTAATACAAAATACAAAATCGTAGACCAAGGATGGTGACTGATTGACAACACTGTTTTAAGACATTTTCAGGGAACTAAACTATCTAGATAGAGTCCAAAATAATATTTCTAAAGGGAAGAGATGAATTATTCAATTAATGACAT